TCTCTTCTTCACCCTCTCACTACCTGACTTCTCATTATCAGCGGACTACGACAGAGAGAGAGAGAGTTGTGACTTGAGACTTGACGACATTGGATCCAGACTCGACATTGGGATTCAGACATTTTGACGAGGGACTATTTGGGCCTGTGCCGAAGACTTGGTGTGGACGACATTCCCATCTTCCCCTCTTCTTCGTCTAACCCCCCTCTTCTTCGTCTGTGTATGGTTGGGGACTGGCGCATTCTTCCTGTGTGAGCGCCAGGCCCCTTCACACCATGGAGTGATGATGATGATGTATGTTCGGGGCTGCATTGCAATATTGATTGTTCGGAGCATTGGTATCTAAGTCTTCCGCTACGCTATCTTGTACTTTGTGAGAGAGGTCGGTTCTTGTTCTGGTCTGCATCGTTACAGTATGCAACAGTTTCCCTCCTGCACGAAATTCTTGAACAAGTACTGCGGCTCTCACCTCCTTCGTTATTACAGCATGCTTGGACATCAATCTGTCTGCCTCTGTCTGCTGCACTGCAACTTCATCGTCTGGCAGTGGGACGACCCATGGGCGAAAGTGTTCTGTTCAGTTCATAATCCAAAACTCAAGAAAAGACGGTGCCATTCGGTTGCAACTCAAATGAAAGAAGAATGGAGAAGAATTGGACAAAGGAAGAAGAAGAATGACACAAGCTGGAACTCGTGTCATCTTCCTCTCAACTTGCCTCCATCATCTTACATCTCATCATCTCCTCCAACACCTTATTAATATTAAATTAATAAGTAACGAAAATGAATGAATGAATGAGCCATAATCGATATCTGATTACTCCTGCTTACTGTCAGCCTTGTAAAGAACCCTCCTTTAGCCTTCTACACCCTCCTACCTCGGTATGGCCACTGGCTATGGCGGGATACCCAAGGCCGTCTCGGTTGTTTGAAGGACAGTGCAAATGCTCTCATGCCCTCTCCATCATCCATTGCCAGCCCTACAGTCTTGAATGAAGTTCATTACCAACCGGTATACCCTTCAGAGGGCTTGCTGCATCGCCAATCTTGGAGATGAAGATGGAAGTCCGCCCACCATAGGCAAAGGCGAGCCTCCCTCCTGGTTACCACCACCTCCCTCCTCCTTACCTCCATACCCTAGGGCTACTCCTACAGAAAGTCGCATCGTGGTAGCGCCTTGTGCGTGGAAGGAAAAGCAACGACGAAACCCTCCTGAAGCGACCAGCCTCGCTCCAAAATGAAACTTCCATTTTGTGGAGCGGGTTCTTACAGAAAGAAGTTTAGCCATATGTCAAATCAAGTCATTTTCTCCCTACTATGCCTCCATAGCCAGGAGGTCTTCTCCATCATTGTGGCATACTGTGCAGCCACACGGGCCTTGCAGGGCCCGTCCCGGACCTCCAGCCTGTTTCCCTACAGTGAAACTTCCAGGCTCTTGCCTGGAAGCTTCCTTCTG